TCTGTAAGGATTTGCCTATTCTGGACATTTGATATAAATGGAATTATACAGTATGTGGCCTTTTGTGTTTAACTTCTTTTATGTAGCATGTTTTCATGATTTCACCTATATTTTAGCATGAATCAGCACTTCATTCCTTTTCATGGATGAATAATATTCTATTCTATGGATATACCAAATCATGTATATCCATTCATCAGTGGAGAGATACTGGATTGTTTCTACTCTTGGGCTATTATGAATAATAAACGTTTGTGTACAAGTTTTTGTGTGGACATATGTTTTCAATTCTGTTAAGTACATAGCTAGGAATGGAATTACTAGATTATATGCTCTTTGTTTCAAGTTCTAAGGAACTGCTAAACTCTTTTACACAGCATCTGCATCTTTTTACATTCCCACTAGCAATGCACGAAGGTTCCTATTTCTCCACATCAGTAACATTTATTGTCAGTCTTTTCTTGTTATAGCTCTCCTAGTGGATATCAAGTGGTTTCTCAGTGTGGTTTCGATATGCATTTCCCTGATGATTAACGATGTTGAACATCTTTTCGTGTGCTTACTGGCCAGTTGTAAATCTTCTTTTCAGAAACATCTATTTAAATCCTTTGTCCATTTTTAAATTGGGTTACCTATCTTTTAAATTGTTGACTGTCCTTTATATATTCTGGATACCACACCCCTACCAAATATATGGTTTGCAAATATTTTCTCCGATTCTGCAGGTTAGTTTTTTTTTCCCCCCCTTTTTTTCTTGCGGTACGTGGGCCTCTCACCGCTGTGGCCTCTCCCACCGCGGAGCACAGGCTCCGGACGCGCAGGCTTAGCGGCCATGGCTCACGGGCCCAGCCGCTCCGTGGCATGTGGGATCCTCCCGGACCGGGGCACGAACCCGCGTCCCCTGAATCGGCAGGTGGACTCCCAACCACTGCGCCACCAGAGAAGCCCCTGCAGGTTAGATTTTTACTTTCTTGATGTTGTCCTTTGATGCACAAAGCTTTTTCATTTTGATGACATCCAATTTTTTTCTGGGTGTTTTCTTTGCTTGTGCTTTAGATGTTTTACCTCAGAAACCATTGCCTAATGCAATGTTACAAAGATTTATGTTATATATTTGTAAGAGTTTTATAAGTTTATGTTTAGATCTTTGATTCATTCTGAGTTATTTTTGTATATGGTGTGAGGTAAAGATCAAAATTCATTTATTTGCATGTGGCTATCCAGTTGTACCAGCACCATTTATTGAAAAGACTGTCCTTTTCCCCATTGAATTATCTTGGAATCCTTGTCAAAACTTAATTGACCAAAAATGTATGAGTTTACTTCTGGACTCTCAATTTGATTCCACTTATGACACTACTACACAGTTTTGATTACTGTAGCTTTGCAATAAGTTTTGACATCAGGAAGTGAGTCCTCCAACTTGGCTTTTTTTTTTAAGATTATTTTGACTGTTCTAGGTACCTTGAATTTTCATATGAATTTTAGGTTCAGTGTATCAATTTCTGTCCAAAAAGGCAATTGGAATTTTGATAGGGCTTACATTTAATCTGCAGATCATTTGAGGGAATATTGGTTTCTTAACAATAGTAAGTCTTTTAATAAATGAACATGAGATGTCTTTCCTTTTATTTTAGGTCTTCCTTAATTTTCAAGAAAGTTTTGTAGTTTTCTTTTGTTAAATATATTCCTATGTATTTTATTCATTTTGATGGTATTATAAATAGAATTGTTTTTCTTAATTTTATTTTTAGGTCGTTCATTGCTAATGTATAGAAATACAAATAATCTTTTACTTAGGAATAAACTTAACCAAAGAAGTGAAAGACTTGTACACTGAAAACTACAAAATGTTGCTGAAAGTAATTAAAGAAGACACAGATAAATGGTAAGACATCCCATGTCATGGATTGGAAGACTTAATACAGTTAAAATGTTAATACTATACACTAAGATATGTCACCTGGGCTCATTTAGCACCTCACCATCTGTCTTAGAACTTGTTACAGATTTGAGGGATAATTTGTGGCAGGCTATCTATGAATGCCAAGGGCCTGCTGTACATAGCCCTTCCCAGATTGTCCCTGCCTACTTTCTAGCCCCACCATGCCATCATGTGCCACACACAAATTCTTGCAGTTCTCAAGCATCTCATGCCTCTTTTGTACCATTGAGTGGAATCACCTCCACTCCTTCTTTTCTTTCTGTCTTTGAACTCCTCACTCTCAAGTCCCAGGTCTCCATGAAGTTCTCTCTGGATTCTCATTCAGAGCAATCCCATGGCACTTGGGTCTGTGCAGACTTCAATACCACACTTACCACACAAGATTATAATCCTTCCTGTATCTCTTATCCCAAAGACTATGGGGCCTCTGGGTTCACTGAATGAAGACCAATTTGGAGGCTCTTACAACAGTTTACTTAAGAGGTGACATGGCTTGAAGTGGGCTGGAGGAAGAGTGAGGGGTCAGGTCATGAGATAGGAGTTAAGAAATGACAGGACTTGGTTGATTGGAGGCATTAGAATGTAGTGGTTGAAGGGTGTACGCTGTGCTGCCCAGCAGCTTAGGTTCTAAATCATACTCTGCCACTTGGTGGCTATGGACCTTGGACAAGTTACTTCAACCTTCTTACTTGTTTTCTTATTTGTAAAATAGGAATAATGACAGCATTTATTTCCTAGGGTTGCTGTGAAGATTAAATGAGTTGATACATACAAAGTGCCTAAAACAGTTAGTACCTAGCACATAGCCCTCCGTAAGTGTTAGTTGCTATTTTCTTGTTAATAATAATAATAATAATAATAATAATAATAATTGTTATTATTACTGGATATGAAGAGTGAAAGAGAGGAAGGAAATAAGGCTAAGTCCGAGGTTTCTAACCTGAGCAACTAAATGGAAGGTGGTATTTTTTCATAAAACAGGACATTGAAGAAATAACAGAATTGAGAAGATTGTAAATTCAACTTTTTTTTTTGCTTGCAGAATCTTAGTAACCCAACCAGGGATTGAACCCGGGCCACGGCAGTGAAAGCCCGGAATCCTAACCACTAGGCTACCAGGGAACTCCCGTAAATGCAACATTTTTCATTAAGACTTTATTCTTTTAGAGCAGTTGTAGGTTCATGACAAGTTTGAGGGGATGGTACAGAGATTCCCATATACCTCCCTCCCACTCATGATAGCCTCCCCCATTATCTACATCCTCCACCAGAGTGGTACATTTGTTACCACTGATGAACCTACATTGACACATTATCACCCAAAGTCCATACTTTATAAGTTCAATTTTTGATAAGTTGAATGACAGGTGCCTGTGGAACTTCCAAGTGGAGACGTCTAGTAGGCTGTAGGGTGTAAATGTCTGTAGTTCATGAGACAGTTCTAGGATGGAGATATAGATTTGGGAATCATTCACACAGGGTAATTCAAATAATGGGCATGGATAAGCTTGCCAAGTCAAGTGTTTAAGGAGCAGCACAGTGGCTAATACTGTTCAAGGTTCTTTCTCTTTCTCTTCTCTTTAGTTAGTGTATTAATTATCTGTTGCTGTGTTTACCCCAAAACTCAGTGACTTAAAACAACAGCTATTTGGGACTTCCCTGATGGCCCAGTGGTTAAGAATCTGCACTTCCACTGCAGGTGGCTCGTGTTAGATCCCTGGTCAGGGAACTAAGATTCCGAATGCCACGTGGTGCGGTCAATAAAAAACAAAACAAAACCGAACAAAAACCCAGCAGCTATTATCTCGCAGTTTCTGTTGGTCATTAATCTGGGCACAGTTTGGTTGGGTGCCTCTGCCTCAAAGTCTGTCCCAAACCTGCAGTCAAGATGTTTAGACAGGGATGCAAGCATTTCAAGGCATATATAGTACTACAAAGCTCATTTAAAAAAAAAAAAAGATGAAAAATCCAGCATATCCTACCTGTGGTTACACTCTGTAACTTCCAAGGCTAAGTGAGAAGAGGCCATGCAGCTTCTATCAGTCTATTTCTTGGGATACTCAACTTCGAAACCCAGCTGCTGTGCTGTGAGGAAGCTCAGGCCACAGGGAGAGGCTATGTAAATGTGTTCCAGCTGATAGTTCCCACAGAGGGCCTAGCTGACAGCCACCATGTGTCCGCATGTCAGTAAGGAAGCCTCAGGATCTCAGGATCTATCTATTCCTGGTACATACTTTCCACTAGTTCGCCTTCTTTCAACTCCATCTTTGCCACATCGTTGTCACTAAGAGGAAATGAAGAAATAATACGGGTAAAGTGCTTAGAACAGTGCCTGACACATAACACCCAGTTACCATTAGCTACTATTAAGATTATTTTAGAAGTTTTTATTGCTTTTATTACTTTGCTCTTCGGCGCCTAACGAAGAAATAAAGCAAAAAATTCCAAATCTAGTGGATTAATTCTTTTCCCTTCAGCGCCCCATCTGCTTACTGACATAACTAGCTCTTCACCTAGAATTAATTACCTCTTTGCGCTCGTTTGCCCGTCTGAGACCAGGGGATATGTGGCTCGTGCACTAGGACGGCCTTGGGACCTAGACTGATGTCTGGGGCGTGGCTGTTGAGACGTGAACAGGCCTAGATGAGGCGGGCGCAGGTGAGAAGGGTAGAACCCAGTTAGGAGACCTCCGACCTGTAAATCAGTGTGGTCTCTCTACTTCCTAGGCAACCTCAGGCAAGGACTCCCTGTCTCACGGTTCCGTTTCCCCGTGTGCAGAAAAAGTAATTTATTATTTGTGGTGCTTCCTCTCTCACAGGGTTGCTGTGAAGACCCTGAGGTAGGAGGTCGGAGAGACAACAGTCCGTTATTACAAGCCTGAAGCCTCAGAAATGGGAGGGAGAGAGGAAAAGGAGTCACGTGACAAACTCGGTCGTCTCAGGCCTCCGAGAGTTTGTCCTAGAACGTCTCATTTCTATGGTAGATGGCGCTGGAATTTCCGGGGCAAAGACTTTGCTCTTCCTGAGTAATTGCTACCGCTTCCGGGGCGGGACGCGGCGAGGCTAGAGTGCTATTCTTTAGTTCGCTGCCGACTGGTTTCTCTGCGCTCCTTGTTGCAATGAGCTTCCTCAAAAGTTTCCCGCCACCTGGGTCGGCTGAGGGGCTCCGGCAGCAGCAGCCAGATACCGAGGCCGTGCTAAACGGGAAAAGCTTCGGCACCGGCACCCTTTATATCGCTGAGAGGTAGGTTCTCTGGTCCCCAGTGCTGGCTTCCTGCGCACCTCCTTCCCCCAGGGCGCGGGCGGTGCGGAGGAGCGGGGCGACACCAAGACCTCTGGGGCTGCGGGGCGGGGGAGCGCGTGCTCCGCATTCCCTTGGGGGTGCCTCTGCTGGGGGTAAGATTTGACTGTTCCAGTGTCGTTTGTTCGGAGCCTTTTTTTCTCCTCATTCATTATGCTTTTTACCCGCCTGTTTACCGGAGGTCTGGTGGGGTGTTGCTCTTTATTCAAGGTCTCATTTTAAGGTTTTGAGTTTCCAGGCCCTGAGTTAGCGTCATCAGTGTGCCTGCCTTCTCGATGAACAGGAGCGGGAGGTGTTACCCTGAGCAGGATATGTAGGTTTAGAGCAGATTGTGCAGTATTTTTAAAATTTGGTTAAGGAGTGTAGGTTTTCTTCTGTAGGTATGGGTGGGGAGAGGAACACCTTCAACGCCACGCAGGTTGGGGTTATATCCAGAGGGACCTGACTCTCATTTTCATTCCTAGAAGGAATTGCCCTTTTATTTGGGTACCTGGGGCACTTTGTACTTTCACAGTCAGATAGACTTGTCTTAAATGTTGAGATTGTAGAATAGAGGTTCCCATTTCCATGATACACGGTTCCATTCATCTTCAGGCCAACAGTGACACATGGAATCCTTCTGTCCTTCACATCTCTCTGACTTCTGCATCAGTTTCGTCTACATCCAGAGAAAATTCTCTGCTTCTAAGAGGTCACATGATTATATTGGACCCACACAGAAAATCCAGGATAATCTCTCTATTTTATTGTCAACTGATTAGTAACCTGAATTACATACACAAAGTCCCTTTTGCCTTGTAACATAACACATTCACAGGTTTGACACCAGGGGAAATTGGAGTCATGGGGGCCAAAATTCTGACTACCACAGAGGGCACAAAAAGATGTAAAGAACCCTTGGTTTAGAAGGAAATCTAGTCACTGAGCAAAGCTTACGCTTTTGGCCAGTCACTGAGATAGGAAATATGGATGGGAGGAAAAGCAAGTTTGGGGAATGAGTTTGGTCTGTATATGTGTGGATTAGTTGCACATATGAGCATGTTTCTTGGGAGAGTGGTGTTAAAGATGGATAGATTAGATACCCAAGAAGAGAAGAGGACCAAGGGTAGAACCCTGGGGACACATCTACACTAAGAGATAGGTTATAGAAGAATAGACTTGAGAAAAGTGAGAGGAGCAGTCAAATAAAATCATATCTGGAAAGCACCTATTGGGTATTGACAAGGAGACTTTCAGTGATCTTGGAAGAGCAATTTCTTTTAAAGGGTGGAAAGTGGAACACAGATATGTTCCTAGCCCCTACTCAATCCCCTTTTTCTCCATGGCTTCTCTGTGTATTCGCTCTTCTATAATATAAATCCTGTTTTGGGAAGGTCCTATACTTGTCTTCCCATTTGGAAAATTTTCAAACCTAAAGAAAAGTTGCAAGCGTTGTTAATTAATACCCATGGCTCCTTTGCAAAGATCCATCAGTTGTTAACATTTTGCCACATTTACCTCTTTCTCTTTTTTTTCTGAGCTTTTTGAGAGTTGCACACACGTCATCACTTCACATGTAAATACTTGAGCAAAAATCTAAGTATAAGGACATTCTCTTGTATAACCACAATACAGTTATCACACTGAGGAAGTACAAACTCCTTTTTAGCTCTTATCTGTTTAAAAAATTTACTTATTTCAACCTTTCACTAACAAATCTTTTTCTTTAAGAAACTATTTTTATAAAATATACATACAAAAAGAATATAAATTATAAATATATGGTTTAAGGAATTATAATTAAACTAACACCTGCATAACACCTCCAGGTTAAGAATAGAATATTACCAGTACCTTGGACACTGTTGTTCATCCCTCTACTGATTGTTAGCGTTACGTCCTTGGTCTCTTTCCCTTTTTGTTCTTTCCCACCTAGCATTTCCAAATCTTGATAGACTCAAGATCTCAACAAACTGGGAAGGCTTCCTAGAGGATGTGACAAATGAGGATTAAAAGTCAGGGGAATGAGGTGGGGCTAAGAGGAAACATTCTAATTAGAAGAAACAGGATGTTCAGAGGCAATGGTGAGAAACCGTATTGTGTGTGCCAGGGTATATATCTGTGTGCACACATGCACACACACAGTTCAGCAGTTCTTCATCTGAGGGACTGAGGGAGAAAGAGTGAAAACATAATAGAGCTGGAGAAGGAGGGAGTCATGTTTATGAGCTTAGCTTATAGCCCAAAGGTTTTGGGGAAACTGTTTTAGGATTTTAGGCAAAGAGGAACAGGGTCTGATTTGGTTTTAGGTAGTTTTTCAGATGTGTATTGAGAGATTTAGAACTCTTGGGCTTATTTTCAAAGCTTAGTTTTCATAGAAAGTTGACTTTTTTCCAAATAAGGGAACAGAGGCATGAATCATTCAAAATAGATCATTTGAAACAAGTGAAATATTTAATTAAATTAAAAATAGGTATCTTAAACTTATAAATTATGCTCTTTTTATATCTTATTCCAAAATTAATTTAAAACCAAATAATTAAGCCAGTCCAAATTCAAGACCTCTCTTACCTTTCTGTCCTGTTTTTCTCCCCATGCCAGGAATAAAGTACAGTGATATTCTTCTGCAAAGCATTGGAGGTTAGCAAAACATTCCTCTGCACCTTTACTGGCTTCCTAATTCTTTTTTTTTTTTTTTTTTTTTTTGGCGGTACGCAGGCCTCTCACTATTGTGGCCTCTCCCGTTGCGGAGCACAGGCTCCGGACGCGCAGGCTCAGTGGCCATGGCTCACGGGCCCAGCCGCTCTGCGGCATGTGGGATCTTCCTGGACCAGGGCACGAACCTGTGTCCTCTGTATCGGCAGGCGGACTCCCAACCACTGCGCCACCAGTACCGGCTTCCTAATTCTTGATTTTCCTTTATGTGACTCATGGTTTCTTTGGGCCTGGGTATAGTTAGATATTTTGGTTTGGAGGGCTTTTCTTCTAGAATATATGAAAAGAGAATAAATAAAAATGAAAACTTAGTAATCAGAGTGAATGTTGCTTTTAACTGAAACTTTCTTCTGTAGAGTACATAATCCATGTTCCTGTATAAGGTTATGAGAGCTCCATAGGAAATGCTGTGGTGAGGTAGCATTTGTGTTCTGCCAGCAGTAAGGAGCTACAGAGTAATTATTATGTGCTTTTTAAAGTGAAAGCCATAATTTATAGGCACTGAATCTATGCTTATATTTCAGTTTTTCCATCTCCTAATTGAGTCACTAAAGAAAGTTTTGTGGCTTTGGTATTTCAAATCATTTTGGACACCGAAATTTGGAATACTCCTTTCTGACTTGTGATAATGCCAGGGGGTTATTGAGCTGAGAAAAAGGAGTTTATTTGCTTAAAGTAATACAGTTTTAGTAAGGGACTGGCAATATTTCTGTGATACATGAGCACTATTTCTTCTCCACATTAAGAGGAAAGCAGTGGAGGAAAGGCCCGTAGAACACACACAATCCAATTACAATAATAAAATCTATTTCTTTGGACCCAATGGGATGAGTCATTCTGGAAAATCATTTGTAGAGCTTTTACCACTTTAAGCATCTTAAGATTTATCACTTTAAGCTTCCCAGGTTTTCTTTTTCTCTTTTTTTAATAAGCATGTTGAATGGAAATCTTTCTAAATGACCGTGCATATTTTTTCGCTTTTGCTTATTTTAGTGTACAGTTCCTTATGTTTTAGTGTATTTACAGAGTTGTACAGTTTTACCACAATCTAATTCTGCCTTTGCTTTTGATAAGTGAGGGTCAAGTGATACACACTTGTGCTATTAGACGTTGATTTCCTTTAGGGACTAAGGTATAAGGTTCAACCTTGCCTTACATCGGATATGAATGCTCTCAAACTGCTGTACTGTCATTGTTCCTGCACAAGGGAGTCCTAGGTTCTACTATTGCATTTGTTTTTGCTTCATTAGAAATAAGACCACCAGGCTTGTTAGAGTTGTATAGAAAATAGAACGATATGGGGGTTTTATTGCGTTAACCTCTTTTTAAAAGAAAAGCTGCATTGAGATAATTTACATAGCATGCAATCCATGTATTTGAAGTATACAATTAAATGTTTTTTAATCTATTTACAGAGTTGTACAGCCATCAACACAATTTTATTTATTTTTAATTTTTAATTAATTTATTTTTTTTGGCAACGCCACGCAGCTTGTGGGATTTTAGTTCCCCGACCAGGGATTGAACCGGGCCCTGGCAGTGAAAGTGACGAGTCCTAACCACTGGACCACCAGGGAATTTCCAATACAATCAATTTTAGAATATTTTCATTCCCCCTCCAAAAACTGACACCCATTAGCAGTCACTTTCTATTTTCCTCCAGCCCTGTGCAACCACTATATTGCATTAACATTTTTTTGTGGTTTCTTAAGCATCTTTTTCCTACTTTTTTTCCTGCTAAGTGGTGAAGTATTACCAAAAAATTAGCCAGTCCTTGCTCAAAACTCAATGTACAGATTTTCTTGATATATTTCCTTTGTTATACCAATAAAATATTTGCATTAGACCACTTTTGAGGGAAAACTAGATGTTGCTTATTTGTGGCTTTCTGTTAAAACTGCAGAATAAATGAAAGGCTTCATAAAGTCTGCCTTTCAATGTGATGATTATTTTCCAGCGTGTGGTATGATTACAGCCATTTCATGTGTATATCATTTAATGTAGGATTAGTGAAGAAATTAGTGATTCCTAGGTATTTATTGCATACTTACATGCTAAGCACTATGGTAGTGGTTTTGAAGAATGTTAAATAAAGGAATATGACAAGTTTTGTCGAGTAGCTCACGTTCTGTCAGGGTACATATAAGATTCTTTACCACAGAGTTAGGTGCTCAATAGTATATTACTGAGCATAAGTACAGTTTAGAAAAAGAAGAGTTCATTATGGACTGGAATAATTGTAGGGAGGGCTCTTGGAGAGGCTGACACTTATTCAGATGAAGAGGATTTGCAAAAGCAAAAAAGGTGCCTGAAGACATTCCAAATACGAACAAGCATAAAAAGGCATAGAAACACACAGTCACTTTTCTGTGACTTAAGAAAAACTGCATTTCAAATCTGTTTGAGTAGAGGAAAATAACAGAATTGGTCTTAAAGAAATTCAATTCCTGCTGTTGAATTTTCTTATTTTACGAATATTTCTAAACAGTATGCTTGAATTTATTCACGTGTATAAAAGTGTCCAAGCTGAACTTTTATAAACGTTAGGACGTTAAATTAGGATTTAAGTTCTGAAAATAATCTACTTAAAACATGTTTTTCAGCCGCCTGTCTTGGTTAGATGGCTCTGGATTAGGATTCTCACTGGAATACCCCACCATTAGTTTGCATGCGGTGTCCAGGGACCTAAATGCATATCCACGAGAGCATTTGTATGTTATGGTGAATGCCAAATTTGGAGGTACGTATGGTATTATTTAACCTTGAGCTTCCTTTGGTAGTATATTATATTTCAAAAAGCAGTCTCTGATCATAATCAATGTAATAATCAATTGACTTATTTTGGATAATACTTTCTTAAGCAAAATTTCAGCACAGTAAAATAGTTTGGCCTTTTTAAAAATATATTTATTTATTTTTGACTGTGTTGGGCCTTTGTTGCTGCACATGGGCTTCCTCTAGTTGTGGCTAGCGGGGCCTACTCTTTGCTGTGGTGCACGGGCTTCTCATTGCAGTGGCTTCTCTTGTTGCGGAGCACGGGCTCTAGGTGCGTAGGCCCAGTAGTTTGGCACACGGGCTTAGTTGTTCCGCGGCATGTGGATCTTCCCGGACCAGGGATCGTACCCATGTCCCCTGCGTTGGCAGGCAGATTCTTATCCACTGTGCCACCAGGGAAGCCCATGGGCACTGCCTTGTATTTTCCATATACTTGCACTTAGAATTATTTAGCTATTGTGCGTTTGTATTTCTAGTTTTTCCTCTTGAGTTTAACTGTTTATTCTTTCTCTTTGTAAAGACATTTATATTTGGCACCCTTAGAGGCTTGGATCAGTGTACTTTGCTTCTAAGAGTTTAGGATAGAACATATTTTGTTTTGTTACAGAAATGGTTCTCAGTGGTGGACATGTTGCCCTCCCCCCATATTTGGCAATGACATTTTGATTGTCATGACTAGAGGTGGAGAGGAGTGCTACTGGCATCTAGTTAGAGGCCAGGAATGGTATTAAGCATCCTACAGTGCACATAGGACAGGCTCCCACAACAAAAAATTAACCAGTCCTAATGTCAGTAGTGCCAAGGTTGAGAAACCCTAGGGTACAGGATTCCCAAGTCTTGGATAAAATACAAAGATTCATAAAAATCTAGTGTAGTTGATGAAAGAAGAAGCAAGAAAGATTTTAAAAATCCATTTTTTTAGGCTGTCCACAATAAGTTGTAAGAATTCTGAATGAGAAACAGGTTAGGCACGAAATAGAATCTTGTGCTTGACTTTTGTAAGTAGAACTAAATAAGAAGTTTATGTAGTATATTGTGTTAGTTTAATATGTTCATCTTTTGTAGAAATGAACTTAGGGGTTGCAAAGACAATTGTCACATCTTTAGTAAACTTTTTCTTTTAAAATAGTGGGTTGCTTTTCTTTGAAATAGCACATACGAGACAATCCCATGAATTTGCCTATTGAGATATTGCTCCTTCAATTTGAGATTTTAATAGGGTTTCAGATATAAGATGAACATTTATATTGTTATACAGGTGTGGATCCTATTTTCCCAGCCTTTGTTCCTCTGGTCCTGATTCAGACTTTTTTTTCCTCTTTGGCTTACCTCCATTAACCTCTAAAGTGGACCATCGGCTTATTGTTGAGAACATTAGATTATTTTTAAAATGACTAAAAATACATTCCCATTTCTGAAAATTTAGAAAGTTTTAAGGAGACAGAGTATGGCACACACTACTATGATCTAGCATGAGATGATGAGTGTTTGTCATGGTAGTATTTTCTTTTCCTAATTGTAAAAATGCTATATTACATTTCTGTTTACTGCCTTAAGATAGATTCCTGCAGATATAAAAGAAGGTATTAATTAATAGTAGTTATTTCTAGGGAGAGGACTAGAGGGTAGGGACTTTTTCCTTTGAATCCGTCTTGACTCTTTTACTTATATTTATACCAGCATGAATTACTTTTTTTTTTAAAATTTTTATTGGAGTATTAAATTTTTATTGGAGTTGCTTTAAAATGTTGTGTAGTTTCTGCTGTAACAGCAATGTGAATCAGTTATATGTATACATATATCCCCTCTTTTTTAGATTTCCTTCCCATTTAGGTCACCACAGAGCACTGGGTACAGTTCCCTGTGCTATACAGTAGGTTCTCATTAGTTATCTATTTTATATATAGTAGTGTATATATGTCAATCCCAATCTCCCAGTTCATCCTACTCCCCCTCCGCCCTTGGTATCTGTAAGGTTGTTCTTTACATCTGTCTCTATTTCTGCTTTGCAAGTAAGTTCATCTGTACCATTTTTCTAGATTCCACATACAAGCGATATTATACGATATTTGTTTTTCTCTTTCTGACTTATTTCACTCTGTATGACAGTCTCTAGGTCTATGCATGTCTCTGCAAATGGCACTATTTTGTTCCTTTTTATGGCTGAGTAATATTCCATTGTATATATGTACCACATCTTCTTTATCCATTCGTCTGTTGATGGACATTTAGGTTGCTTCTGTGTCCTGGCTATTGTAAATAGTGCTGCAGTGAACACTGGGGTGCATGTATCTCTTTGTGTTACGGCTTTCTCTGGGTATATGCCCAAGAGTGGGATTGCTGGGTCTGAGTTACTTTTATAATTTGAAAAGTGATATCCATTCAGTTATAGAATAATAATTACAGTATGATACTATTCTGTTTTTTTAAATGCATTGAAAAAGTTTGGTAGTACCATAATGTATTCAACTCCTTAGAATTGTTTGGAACTCTCCAATATTTTTGTATTTTACTTTTTACAGAAGACACCTCTATTATATTTGACAATTTAATAACATTAGAAACAGGACAGAAAACGTCCTATTAAATCTGCTATTTAAAACTGCTAACAGTGGCCACTGAAATTTTTTTCCTTTTTTGCTTATCTGTATTTTTTCATTATTCTGCAGTGAACTTGTATGACTTATAAAAGGTAAAAAAAATTTAGTGGATACCCCCTTATTATTGATTTCTATGAGTAGAATTGCTGCATTAAAAGTAAATATTTTTAAAGCTCTTAACATATATTGTCAAGTTGCTTTCCAGAAAGTTTATACTTTCATTACCTCTCTACCTTATCTTCATCTATATGGAGAATTAACATTTTTTCAAAATGGTAACTGTAATATGCTAAACAAAAGTTTTTTATATATATGTATATATGTGTGTATATATATATATATATTTTTTTTTTTGCGGTACGCAGGCCTCTCACTGTTGTGGCCTCTCCCGTTGCGGAGCACAGGCTCCGGACGTGCAGGCTTAGCGGCCATGGCTCACGGGCCCAGCCGCTCCGTGGCATGTGGGATCTTCCCAGACCAGGGCACAAACCCGTGTCCCCTGCATCGTTAGGCGGACTCCTAACCACTGCGCCACCAGGGAAGCCCCAAAAGTTACATTTTTAAGAAATGTTTGAACATGTTTTGGTGGTTTGGGGGTCTTTTTAAGTGTTTTATTGACCATTTTTTAAAAAATTATTATTATGAACTAATTCAAACATTGAAAAGTACAGAATAATAAAAAAATTCCATTATTTAATGTCCAGTGTAAATTCTAACATTTTTCATAATTATTCTAGTCTAAAAGAAATAAACTATATTAATACTACTGAAATCTTTTTTGTATCCCTCCCCATTTCGTTCCTAACTCTGTCTCCAGAGTTCATCTTAAAGATGGTGTGTGTCCTTCTTGTCTATGCTTTTAGATTTTTACTGAATATGTATATACCCATAAGCACTATAATGGTTCTCTTTTGTGTTTAAAATTTTAATGTAAGTGGTATTATATATATTCTGCAACGAGCTCTTTCACTCACTTATATTTTAAAATCTCTTCATTTTGGTACATATAAATCACATTTAGTCATTTTCAGCTGCTATCTCTCAAACATAGTATGACCAGGTTACAATACATCTATTTCCTTTTTTTAATTAACATTTATTTTTTATGTTTTCTATAGTACATATAGTAGTTCAGTAAACATTCACATACAAACTCCTTGTGTACATAATATGTACTTAAATGAGGAATTTCTGGGTAGTAGGATAAACACATGTCTGGAATGGTTTTAGCAATTTCTACTTCCACCAGCAGCATGTGCTAGTTCTCTTTATTGAACATTTGTATTTTTTTCTTGCCAACAGACTTTGTTAATTTATCTTTTGGCTCAGCTAACTTTCATGGGCCTTAGTTTTCTCATCTGTAAATTGTTGGTGATGAATCACATCAGTGGTTTACAAACTGCTGCTGGAATCCCTTGTTTCAAGGTGAAAGAAACAGACATGACAATGGAACTCTACTTGATAGAGGCCTGACTGTACAGGTTTCCTCACCCCCACCATGACGTTGGGGCTTGGAATCCCTAGGACTCAAAGTACAGTGTGACTAGACCAGAGAGACTATCCAGAGTCTTTTTTAGCTCTAAAATAACAATGTTCTTATAATTTGAAGTAAAAAATTGCAGTATTTAGATATATCAGTAAGCATCCTTTAATTTAGGCTTCTATTTTTGAAAACAAATAAACAACATCATTAAAAAGCTATTTTTTTATTCCCTTTCTAGAAGAATCAAAAGAATCTGTTGCTGATGAAGAAGAGGAAGACAGTGATGATGATATTGAACCTATTGCTGAATTTAGATTTGTGCCTAGTGACAGATTAGCCTGTGAGTACTCTGTGGAGTTCTTTTCCCTTTAAGTACGAAGCATTCCCTCATCCCTCCCCCCACACACGTACCTTCACCCTCATTACCTCTCTTCTGTTGCTTTTTCTTCATTTTAGCATCTGTAATATCATTGAGGACCAGATAACTATTAATATAAAGATTGTGAATGAAGTGATAGTACAGTAGATGCCGTGTTGCCTGGTATGTTTTGTGAGTGGAGGAATATGTTATTTTTATGGACTTGATGCTGTTGACTGTGAATCTCATTGGATAGAGGACAGAGGACTCATGGCATTTCCAAAGTGGAAGATGCCAGGATAGCTGGAAAGAGCCCTGCCAGCTGAGGGTCTTCACCCTGAGGCCAGTGGTCTGACCAGGACACTGACACTTTTTTTTAGAAAAATCCAGCCAGGCATGAAGGGATGTCAATAATGTTTCGAAATGAACTCTTATTATTTTGTGGCGTGTCCATTGCTATCAAGCACTTTTCAAGATTGATTCTCCTCGGAATTTGGCAGGTTTTGTAAATGTTGTGACCCTAGTATACCTCTTGTCTGCTCATTAAATTTATTTGCCCTGATGGTTATTTTATTAAATTTTTATTGTACATTGGTCAGAAAAAAATTAATTAGGAATTTTTAATTTACTTGTTCAGTGGAGGCCATGTTCACTGCAATGTGTGAATGCCAGGCTTTGCATCCAGATCCTGAGGATGAAGATTCAGATGATTACGATGGAGAAGAATATGATGTGGAAGCACATGGTTAGTGAAGTGGATTTTTTTAAGTGTTTGTGTATGTGTTTCATTTTAAGCATCTATTTGTATAGGATATGGGATTATAGTTCTTTATATCTCTAAGTATCCATATAGCTTGGTTTTTAATAAAAGTGAATGGCACAATTCATGTCTCAGCCAAATTAGAAAACTTCGTGGGCTTCCGAGGCTTGAGAGCAAAAAATAGAGATTACTCAGGGGAGAAAGTGGATAGAGATAAATGGAAGGAAGGAAAATGATAGGATAGTGGGGAGTCAGGAGAGTCTTTTAAGTTGATGAAGTTGCTCTCAGAAAACAAACCTTCTCTCTCCATTGCTTGGAACCTGTATCATCTACATCTTTAACATATTCCATCTAACACCTCATTGCCAAAGTAATTTCTTTTTCCCACAACCATACTTGATTGATCTAAGAATATCTCCCTTTACCTCCCCAGAGCATAGTGCAGTCACTAGCTTGGTGTAGAGTCTTGTTACTTGAGGTGCCTGCTGTTCTCTTTTCTTTTTCCCACTGGTCTCATGTATACAAGTTTGGCTCTCTGAAGCCTTTTCCTCCATATATACCACTTCCTGGCCTGAGAACACTCATTTCTGGGATTTCCCTTTATATATCTAAATACATTCTCATCTTTGCTGAGATTTTGGGGTAATTAAAAATTTTTTTTAAATAAATTTATTTATTTATTTTGGCTGCATCGGGTCTTCGTTGCTGCACGTGGGCTTTCTCTAGTTGTGGCGAATGGGGGCTACTCTTTGTTGGGGTGCGCGGGCTTCTCATTGCAGTGGCTTCTCCTGTTGCGGAGCACCGGCTCTAGGCATGCGGGCTCGGTAGTTGTGGCTCGTGGGCTCTAGAGCACAGGCTCAGTAGTTGTGGCACACAGGCTTAGTTGCTCGGCGGCATGTGGGATCTTCCCAGACCAGGGCTCAAACCCGTGTCCCCTGCGTTAGCAGGCGGATTCTTAACCACTGCGCCACCAGGGAAGCCCCAATTTAATTTTTTTAATCCTGTACTTTCCAGAATTTCTGATTTTTTAAAAATTAATTAATAAATTTTTGGCTGCGTTGGGTCTTAGTTGTGGTGTGCGGGCTCTTCATTGTGGTGTGTGGGCTTTTCTCTAGTTGTGGCGCATGGGCTTCTCTCTTGTTGTGGCACACGGGCTCCAGAGTGCACTGGCTCATTAGTTGCAGTGCACGAGCTCTCTAGTTGAGGCATGCGGGCTCTCTAGTTGTGGGGTGCAGGCTCATTAGTTGCAGTGCATGGACTTAGTTACCCCGCGGTATATGGGATCTTAGTTCCCTGACCAGGGATCGAACCAGTGTCCTCTGCATTGCAAGATGGATTCTTAACCACTGGACCACCAGGGAAGTCCTCAGAATTTCTGATATTTTAAAAGGAGCATGTATTTTAATCAGTAAAAAGCACTCACATGTAAAATTCCCACCTTGGGATAATACAAGACTCCCTAACTTTAGGAACACCCTCTTTTCCTTCTAGTCTCTGGACAGTTGATTCTTTGGGAATTGCTGTTTACTGGCTTATTATGTCTTGGAATCCCTTCTCATCCTAGAGAGTAGAGACATTTTCTTTGTATCTCTGTCTTCAACAGATGGCTGATATATGTATGTTAAATGAATGTTGAGTGTTTTCCTGGAAGCCTTTTTTCATTTTAGCTTACCTTCAGTAAGTGCATTATTGATTATCTTTTTTTTTTTCTAATTGTTTTTTAGTAGCTTAAAAGCTTTTTATTTATTTAGAACAAGGGCAGGGGGACATCCCTACATTTTATACCTATGAAGAAGGATTATCCCATTTAACAGCAGAAGGCCAAGCCACCCTGGAGAGATTAGAAGGAATGCTTTCTCAGTCTGTGAGCAGCCAGTATAACATGGCTGGAGTCCGGACAGAAGATTCAGTAAGAGATTATGAAGGTGAGTACACAGAATTAACTCTTTATAGCGTAGGAAACAAACGTAGAATTACATAGAATGGGAATTCTATGTAAAATTTTTTTTTAACTTTTTTCCCTAACTACAAAGACAGTCTATGTTCATAGTCAAAAAAATTTTAATGGGCACAGGCAAAGAAGAAATGAAAAATCAAGTAGAATTCTAATTGAGAGACATCTGTTACTTTCCTGCTGCATATCTTTCCAGTCTTTTTGTTTGCTTGCTATGTAAGTGTATGTGCAGGCACACATTGATGCTGCCATTTTAATTTTTTAAATGAATTCCTGCATGATTATGGGCAAAACTAGTCAGTTGATTAAGAGTGCTAGACAGCATTCAAGAAACTTGGGATTTCTTTTAGTGACAGACATTTGAACCTTACACAAGTGGCTTTAACTGTTTCATTTGTCTCATATTTGTAAGCCGCTTTGTAAATATTTTACCTATTAGACTGGTTCCCTTTTCTAAGTGTCCTATTTCAGTTAGAATCTTAACGTATTTCTTTTGACTCAGCCTTTACCATTTTTTCCCTTATCCAGTCCAATACTGAATTCTATGGATTTTTCCTTTAAATGACTTTTCAGATCTCTTTGCTATAATTACTGCTATCCTTCAAACCTAGCCCCTTTTCTTCTCACACTGGATTTACAATAGTAAATTTTTTGCCTCAGTCATTCCTTCCTCCAGCTCACTGTGCCATATGAATCTTCTGAGAACACTCTGTGTCCTCCCTGTATAAGGATGTCCACTCAGTGATTGTCTGATACTCACCATATGAAGTTCAAACTCTTCTCTCTGAAGAGACAGCTGTGTTTCTGCCCTACTTGTCTCCAGTCTTGTTCCTGCTACCCTCAATAAAACATTTAGATAGTGCTCTTATTTGCCAGGTCCTGATTTAAGCACATTATATGTATTTGCTCATTGAATCCTTCCAAGAACCCTCTGGTAGATGCTGTTATGATCCCCATTTTACAGATGAAGAAACTGAGGCACAGAAAGGTCACATAACTTGATTGAGGGCAAATAGCTAGTAAGTGGTAAGAGGATTAAATGAACTAATATGCAAAAACAATATGCCAGGCACTGTTGTGAGCATTTCTTACATCTTATATGTATTCATTTCAGTATTTTATGTTGCTGCAGAATCTTAACACTTCTAATTTTTAGTGATGGAGAATGTTCTTAAAGAGGGTTACCATAGTTTTTCTTTTATTGGTACATTTAAGTTTCTCTCATAATGTGATCAGTATCTCCATGCACATAGCATTCTGACCTGGGGGTCCTGAAGTTCTGGGATATTTAATTTGGAAAAACTTAGGCTTTGGGTCACACTTTTTCCTTATGTCTCCTCTCCATTTTAAGCCCTAGGTGGTGAGCCTCTAACACAGGCTTTAGGGTGAGATGGCTCAGGTGATTTCTAGTGCTCTGCCAAACTCTTAGCTGAAAGAATTCAAGATATTTTTTTATTATAATGATTAACTGAAGAGTACCCTTGGACATGGAAAAATCTTTCATCACTGAAGTTTCTTTGTTGTTTTTAATTGTAAAATTCCTTATTTGATGCTTTGTAGCAAGTGATTTTAAGGTCACAAACACTTGTTGCTAAAGTGAGATTTTTGGACTTGTATTCCTAAGCCTCATTAGCGTATGGAGACTTGCCTATATATAAAACTTCTTCAGCCTGTACCATTCTCTATCTTCTAAAGTCCTGGGTACCCATATCACTCTTTTGCCATTTATTTGTTTATTTGACCTGTGCATTTTCTTTTTTTAAATTTATTTTTAAAATAAAAATTGTATATATTCAAGGTGTACAACATGATGTTTAGATATATACATGGTGAAATTTCTACTGCTGGCATTTCAGTGCTTTGTGTGTTTATTTATGTAAGAGGTGTTTGTTGAGCTACAGTGCCAGGTACAGAGAATACAGGAGTGCTCAAGAGAGATGCGGTTATATCTGTCAATGACAATCTAGTGGCGAGAAAAATAAATTAACTAATTAGGTAGTTATAGTACATTGTGGTACAGCATTGAGATATAGGGGAGACTTGAGGAAGTGTGGAATCAGAGACTGGGCCTGTCACTCAGCTTGGATAGTCAGGGAGAGAGTCAAACTTCATGGAGTAAGTGACATTTAAGCCAGAATCTAAAGATGAATAAAAATGAACCAAGTGAAGAGGGATTGCATACAGTTTGGGGAGAGAGGCAGGTAAAAGGATCAGTCATGTGCAAAGGTCCAAGAGACCATTTAGCTTTGGGGAACTGAAAGTTCATATGTCTGGAACTCTGAGTGTGAAGGGTAGTTATTATAGCAACAGATAAAGGTGGAGTAGTGAACTGGGCTGTATATTAAAGGAACTTGAAAGCTGTGTTAACGAATTTCAACTTATGCGTAGGTCATTGGGAAACCATTGAAGAATTTTAGTTTGATTAATGTTTCAGAAGATGACTCTGGCTATGATAACAAAAAATTAATTGCAGAGGGAAATACTAGAGGAAAGAAGAGAAACCCTGTTAAGTACTTTATGATTTAAATTAGATAAGAGATAGTGGCCTAAATTACAGAGTGGCAGTGCGTGTCAAAAGACAACAGATTTGAGAGATATTTAAGAGAGAGAAGCAACAGAAGTTAGAGACATGGTAGGGGTTTCTGGGTTGGGTAGGTAAAAGGTATCCTTTTGCAAAACTCTTTGGAGAGAGAAGCATTTTCTACGTGGAAAGATGATGAGTTAATTTTAGATAAGTGTTGTTTTTGCATGCCCTGCTGGATATCAAGGTGGTGGTGTGCCAGTGGGCTGCAGGCAGAAGCCAGTTTGTGGTGGGCTAAAGAGTTGAGGGGTGAGTGGGAAGTGAAGAAGTGGAGAAAGCAGCTTTAGGCAACTCTTTCCAGAGGGCCTTTTTTTTTTCTTGTCCTCTCCTCTCCTTTTTTTTCAATGAGATAAGAAAAAGATATGTAAGAACCTCGCTCTACTTATTTAGTCTTCTCTCCTGAATTATGTTGTAAGCTTATGAAGATAGGACTTCATATCATTAAAAAAAGTCACACAGTAAACACCTAGCACTGTTCTGTGAAGAGAGAACAATGGATGCTTACTGCATTTGAAAGTCCCTACCTAGTGTTCTTTCAGTGTTCAGGTTGAGAATTGCGAAGTAAATGTTAAATATATAGACTAATTTTAACTTGGCCTAAATCCACAGGTGGCATTTTTCGTTCTCAGTTTGTTCCTTGGTACTTTTAATTTTCAAAAGAGAAAGAAACTGCAACTCCTACAAGCAGGGGGCACTAGCTTCCTTCTGGTCTAACTTTGAGCTGAATCTTTACCTATCTGAAGTGCTTAGTAGACTGTTGCTCAGTGGTTAATTTTTTCTTCAGATGGGATGGAGGTAGATGCTACACCAACAGTTGCTGGACAGTTTGAGGATGCAGATGTTGATCACTGAAAATGATTGATGCTGCTTTAGGGTGAGTAGTTTATTTTCTCCCTTGTCACTGAACATGAAAATCATGTGAAATAATTGATTTTTATTTTCATAATTGAGGAGAACTCCATAAAATTAGCAGTTGTGGAAAAATGTTAGTTATTCATTTATGGAATTATTTAAAATCGTGTAGGTTTTTTCCCTAAGAAATCAAGATCTGCCAACATGGTGATGTTCAGGTTAACATTTATTGAGCACTTATTACGTGCTAAGCACTATGCTAGGCATTGAGAGTACATGGAAGAATAAGACATACCCATCTTCAGTGAATCAGGAGAAGGACATTACCCTTTGTTCAGAAACAGAGATCTCCCTGGTTGGCTCAGGTGGGAACAACAGAGCCTGAGGTCATGTCCTGCTCTGCTCAGTCACCTTTTCCCACTTGTGATGTTTGAAACCTTAACATACTCATCAAAAAACACAAAGCAGAGATTTGCTGCAACTCACTACTTTTCAGTTGAGGGAGGAAGTAGAAGTCATTCCAATCTGAGTTTAAGCCTTGAATCATAATCTTGTATCAGTTTGCCTCGTTTTGAATATAATGGAGGACCAAGGTCCTGGGCACTTCAGCGTTAAAGGCTAATTTGCCAAACCATATCAAGTCCACGTACAGTTGCCCAAAAGCTGTCACTTCCCAAGTTGCTTCATTCCTGCTTTTCTTGACGGACATGGGTTCACTGCCAATTTTCTCTCCTCTGACACATTCTCATGAGCTTTGCCTGAAGTTTGTTCCTGACTGTTTACTTGTTACATGCTACTCTGAGAAATAAATTGTCCTTTGTCAGTTTGAGTATCTCAACTGTATGTTAAATACTAGCTGAAGGTCATGTAGCTAGTTTATATCATACTGAGCTAGGATTAGTAATTAGCAGTCCTTCCTTTAAAAACTAAGATCAGGAATACCCTGGCAGTCCAGCAGTTGGGACTCCATGTTTTCACTGCCGCGGGCCTGGGTTTGATCCCTGGTCCGGGAACTAAGATCCCACAAGCTGTACAGCGTGGCCCAAAAAAAAAAACTGTTAAGATTTTTACATTGTTAAATTGTTGTTCCACTGTCCCCTTTACAACGTCCTTCTACTGCTGACCTTATAACATTTTCTTGAATACTAGCTGTTTTCCATTCTTTGAGTACTTATACCCAGGTCCTTTGTTTTACTAAAGCATATAGTAATAATCGGGCAAGATTTATGTATTTTTGGCTTGAGTTTTATACCATTGTCAGTCATCCAATTAGGTTGTAAGATCCCTTGTTTTTCAAGTTCCATTTACCTTCCAGATTATTGCCACTGTGAAAATAACATCGCTTCTTATAGTAACCATGAATTGTGATGATGGAACTCTGCCTTCCTCTTAGATGCCAGTGGAACTATTAGAAAATAATCTTAAGAGTTCTGTGATTTAATATCTCTTTCTTTAAATATTTATTTCCACAACATTTATTTCTGTCATTGGTAGCCATATAGTCTAAAATCAGCAATGTCTCCTCTGCACTTAGCTGGAGCTCTGTTAACGTTAATTTTCAGATCTCACAGTTCCAGATGTCAGTATTTCACTATTCTACTTCATGGGAAATCTTCCAGTACCAATATAAGCCTTCTTCCCTTATTTCTCAGATTCTTATTTATTACATTCTTTATAGCGTGTGGATTTTTTCAGTAACTTTTATTGAAACTGGGAAACAGATTTTTTGATCTGGCTTTAACATATTTCTTCTTGAAAACAGACTATTCAGAGAACACCAACTACTCTACTAATAAGATTGAGAAACTTATTCGGTATGTCACAAATGGTTACACAAATGGGATGTTACAGCATTTTCCTGGCAAGAATTCTTAGCATTCTTTGTAATGCAATTTTATGGTGAAATAACTGTAAAATAGCCCAAACTTTCTAATGAGCTGATGATTTGTTTTCCTTTCATTTTGTGCTACAGCTGGAGCAGAGAGATACTTTATTCATAAAGTTTATATAAGTTCTTCATCTGGATAATTGACCTCAATTCCAAACAATGTCTGTAAATTTTTAATCATTTAAAATTACATTTGCTTTTGAGGAGTGAAGAAGGAATAATTAGAGTGTGTATGCAACTATTAAAAATTTCAAGATAATGGAGCTAGGACTTCTCAATGCATGAGATAGGGTAGAGGGGAAGGCACATGAATAGTGGAATCACAACTCTACCACGTACCAGCTGTGTGCCTTTGGACAGGCGTATAACTTCTCTAATTCTCAGTTACCTCTTCCGAAAAATGAGGATGATAGTAAATACCTGGCAGGATTGTTGCTAAGACTGAGATATAATATATCTAAGTCCCTGGCACTCTTGACTAGGCATTTAATAAATTAGCTATTATTATTATAAACACTGTAAACCTTTTGTTTTTCAGATTCTGCTCATAACCTTAGGAGAGAACTTGGTGCCTCTTCCACTGTGGAGTGGGTATTGATGAAAGTCTTTTTCCTTCTCCAAAACTTACCTGAACCAGTTCTTTCTTGAGACAGATTATACTGAGACAACAAGTTGTCGCCAGCACAAGAAACTATGACCTTTATTAACAAAGGTGAATTAACTTAACCAAGAGGGTATTGGTAGTTTATCATTTACTCCAAAACTTTGTGTCTAGGTGTACCCTCCATAGGCTTATAATTCCTGCCTTCACTATATGCATCCTCATAACCTAGCAGGACTACATGGTGGAAATGCACTGGCACTTGAAGGTGTAGGTAGACTGCATGGGAAAGAGAGGGGCTGTATACAAGATATACACCTTAGGGCCTAAGAATACCCTTACTCCTTTAAAAAAGAAAAACAGATATCTCAGATAAATCCTGGCCTATGCACAGTCTCCACAGGGTTAAAGGTCTTTTTCTTTTTACTAATTGGGAACCCAGATTAATTAACTCTAGGGAGCCTCTTCAGAAACAGCCCAGCCACACATACTACCACTAACACAAGTGCTTTTGCCTAGCCTTTGCTCCTTTCACCGTGTTTCACCAGTCTGTTCTCTTATAACCTCTTAGGTTATATCCTTCCATTCCCAACCTCTTAGGTCAGTTTCTGTAAAAGAACAAGTGAAATTGGGGTGAAGTTCTCAAAGTACTTCAGATAATTGTTTTGTCTTTGTAATAGCTTAACAAATAAATCTAGGTTTTCTATATTATTGTGCTCTTATCCTCTTTTTTTAATTCATTTTTATTGGAGTATGGTTGCTTTACAATGTTGTGTTAGCCTCTACTGCATAACAGAATGAATCGGCCATACACATACAGATATCCCCTCCGTTTTGGACTTCCCTCCCATTTTCATTCTTGCCTAAAACCATTAATGAGAAACATTTCTTAAAAAATTAGTGTTGGCAAAAACTGAGAATCTTGTTGGTCTTATTTTTGTTTGACTTTTGTTGAGAACATGAACATGAAATAAGTAAGAAAATGTATAGTTAGAGCTTCAGGCAGATGTTTTTAGTAGGACAAGGTCATAACACATTTCAAAGGGATTTCTGCTTCCACTTGAATCAGGAGTAATTTCTCAGGGCATACTTTTCAACTCTCAGTTTTCTGTTTTCACAGACACCTGGGTAGTTATCAGGCTGATTTGTAATTACAGGTTTATACTTGGACTTTTTTTTTTTTTTTTTGCGGTACACAGGCCTCTCACTGTTGTGGCCTCTCCCGTTGCGGAGCACAGACTCCGGACGCGCAAGCTCAGCGGCCATGGCTCACGGGCCCAGCCGCTCCGCGGCATGTGGGATCTTCCCGGACTGGGGCACAAACCTGTGTCCCCTGCATCGGCAGGTGGACTCTCAACCACTGCGCCACCAGGGAAGCCCCTATACTCGGACTTTATGACCTTAAAAATAGGTTAGGAAAGCTATTCACAGTTACTTGCCTAATTAGTGACTAGTGTGTCACCACTAAGCCCAGTGTTCTTTTCAGCACTTTTACTTGGTTTCCCTCATCTTGCATGGTAGACTGAAAAAAACGAATATTCTTTTTCCTGACCAGACTCTTATAAATACTGAATTTGTTACAACAAGCAAAGATAAAGGCCGCTTGGAAATGGGAACTGAAATTTACTGAGACCTTCTCTGTACTGTTCTGGGTTCTTTACATGCATTATGCATATAATATTCTTAACCACCTTATGAGTTATAGGTGCTTTTATGATCCCACTTTAGAGATGAGGAAACTGAGTTATACAGGGAGAGGTAAAGTAACGCTTGAGGTCACATAGATAGGGAGCTGTGATTTTTAAGCCTGTGCTCCCAAATACCATTCAGCCTTACCATCTACCAGCAGCTGAAAGGAAGCACATTTTCTTTTTACTGCAGGGTTTTCAGTGTTAAAATTTCAATAGACAGCACAGGAAGTTCCCAAATTTCTCTGCTGCCAATCTCAGCAGCACTCATAATTCTATGCTAGACGTTTATCCATTCTTCAGTAAGCAGTCTGGGTATTCTTATGGGCTAATCTTAGCAATTCTATTTGAATTCCTTTTTAAAGTCATGTTTACATACTTGTAATCATGACTTTTAGTGAAACATAAAGTGCTCTTTGATAACATATCAACAAAATGTTGAGATTCTGTGCACTGTGTTTCCTGTAGGCACTGCTGCGGTCAGCCTGGTATTGTGGATAATGCAGTCAGCTAAGATGCAGGAGACCAAGCATCTAGTTCTGACTTGGCAGACAAGATATTTAACCTCTCTGGACCTACTTCCTCATCTTTGTAAAATAAGAGGACTAGACTTTCAAAGTCTAAATGACTTTAAAAGAGTCAACTGTAACATTCTGTAATAGTAGGCAGGTGTACCCATAGCTTTGAGAAAATAAGAGAAAGAAGAAAAGATCAGGTCACACTTTTTAAAAATAAAATTCATAATGATCAGCAAGCCAACATTTCTTGATTCTATTTGAGCTTAATTTTAGGGTTGCTGGAATTGTTTTGTTTACTGCTTCTTGGTGTAGAGGAAATTTTAAGAA